TCAATTTACATTACATGAATCATTCATACAATGCACCACATATTTGATATTAAAATAACTGATTCGATGTGCAACTTTCGGATAATAACTGTGACATTCCTCTATTTATTGAACAATTTAGTTCATGCCACATTGACTGAAAAACCTACCAGTACAAAAGAATTCTCCTATTACCATATTAGTACAAAAACGCACAATCTTAAAATTAAAATAATTCAACTTCAGCGTTGCGACCGCACGCTCCAAAAAATTTCTTACAATTAACAATAACACATTTCTAAAAACATTTTTTCGGGTCACATCTATTCTTTCGTTGTCCTGTTATTACCGAGAATTAAAAAACAAAAACAAATCTATTTCCATACCTGAAGATGTCTGTAGGAACAGACGAAACCTTGAAAAAAAACTAAAAAAAGACCTTATGCAACTTGAATTTATAAACAGGGATCATAACATTCATTTACAGGTTCGGGGTTAATGTACTTTATTACATTTGTTTGCAAAGATGTATTCTCGCCATTTAAATCATTAACTTCTATATCTGTTTTTTATATGAATGATTCATGTAATGTAAATTGAACTGCACTACATACTTGATATTATGTATATATATATATATATATATATATATATATATATATATATAAGTGTTACTTTCGATATGCGTCGGTTGTTTGTTTCTGGTTTAGTGAGTGAAACACTCTTGGTGTATTCTAAAACTAGCTTTTGTTCGGCAGGTTTTACAGTAAAAGTCAACAAGCATGTGCAATCGATCGTCACCCAAATCATTGCCCAGGAACAAGTCGAAGAAAATTACCCGGAAGCCGTGCTTAAAGAAATTCGAAAGGGAAAACAGATTCTTGTAGGTCATCCACCCAGAATTGATAGATATGTTGTTGCTTTACTTTGTTTGAGCAACAGAAGGAGGGTAAATGAAGTGAATTTTCTCTCCACGTGGTGCGCCGATTTGTTGAACTTGTGTCAGACTTAGTAACTAGTAAGGCATTACAATGAACATCACATCGATCCGCACAAGCCTTATAGTAGGGCTTTATAAAGGTCTGGCACAAGGCTTCATTAATAAAGCGCCCAATAAGAATTGAACTCATTAACATTATTTTTAAATACTTACATTAAATGTTTTGCCTTTAGCGTTCTGGATATTTGATAAGCGAAACTAGTCTGACACAAGGCCACAAACAATGAGTACTTAGTGAGAATCAAAACATGAGGAATAGTTAGCACCATTCTGTGACAGACGTCTTTAGATATTTACAAAAGTTAGTTTAATCTGTCACAATACAAGTCTGGCACAAGACAACACTGTTTGATTCTAAAAGAATCACTTGTTTATACTTTCTCAGTGCTAGGAACCTTACATATAAGCAAAAAGTAAATTAGCAGCGTCTGCCGTTAAAGATTATCGACACAAAAAATGGTATCAGCGTGTCAAATTCAAATTCTAATAGAGTCTGTTTCATTTGCACTTATATCTTTGGAGGAGGCATAAATCAGTTTTCCCTTAGCTATGGGTAAAATAACAAAGCAGACTGTGCTCTTTTGCCCTGGTAGGGTAACCAAGCTAGAAATGGAAATCTTAATTTAAAAAAAAAATTCCTCAAGTTAGATGGGTTCCACCATGATCACTTGCCACACACACACACACACACACACACACACACACACACACACAGCTTTTTATACTGTTTATCTGATACTAATCAAGAGAGTTATTTAATGAAAAGTATTCCAAGGAAAATACCAATGCTAAATTAGTTGTTTGCTATAAATAGAAAAGTTGGTTGGAAACGAAGATTATTGGTATAATAACGATAGATAATGACCAACCTTAGACTTGAAGAGGTTGTAGTTTTCAGGAAAGTATCCACGCCGGAGTCTCTTCTACAAAGTAGAACATCTTGGCTTTACATTTTCTTGACACATTTGGGATTAAGAGAAAATGAAGGTGATTCGACTCCATGGAAGTGTCCAAGCGGGTCCAAGCTGTAAAGGTTTGAATTGGTGGAACTAAAGAATGAAGCGCTCATCTGAACATTTGACATAGAAATAAAGATAGAGTACGATAGAAATGAGTAGGATTAGACTTCGTAGCTTGTCCGAGCTGTAAAGGTTTGAACGGGTGGAACTAAAGAATGGAGCGCTCATTTGAACATTTGCCATCGAATAGAGGAGTAACGATCTGGCAACGTTGCGTCTGCCTTTCCCTCACAATGCCACATAAACGATTTTGAAGTCTATCAAGGCTGGAAAGTGCTGCCACAATAATACATCGACAATCTTCATGACACAGGATTCATGATCGTGAGCTAAGCAGAAAAGATACAATAGTAAATCCCTGAGTAAGGATCGAACACCAAAGGAGCAATTTACGACAGCCGTTTGCTAACCATTGCTCTACAAGTGGTGTTCTATTATTGATGTTTTGTTGAACGAAGTAGTTTTGGTGAAAGGCCACAAATCGTAGAAAAGCCAAGGAAAA